TCTTTCCATCCAGGTATGTCTTCTTAACTGAATACATCTAACATTAGGACATCGCCAACTGCCATATTTTAACATTGCAATAGTAGTTTCTAGTAATACTGGGTGGAGCCTATTCATAATTACTGATATCAACAGGTGGGTAGGATCTTCAAACTAGTTTTAAATTAGTATGGGTAACTTTCAATTGTATGTTCTGGAATAGAGTTGGCCACATATTTTGGATTGCTTTAACCCTGATAGTACTTAAAAGTTGTCTGCGCACTGACAAGGAATTTGGAGGAGAGTGATGTCCTCATGGATAGTGGCATATCTTGTCTTTTGTTAGGCACAACTTTGGTGTCAGGTAATCATGCTTTTCCAAGATACCTTTTAAATACCTTCTTTTTTCCATTTTTTTCAAGTTTCACGGTTATTGGCTACCTGTGTTATACAAATGTGTGATATTATGGTCCTTAAAAAAATGCATTTGTTATATATGCACACCATAAAAATGTTTAATTAAACTTAAAAATCCACTTTATAAAATAAAAAAAATTATTTGGCTATCTCCATGAACAATCGGTAGTTTCCATATGCCAAAAACAGATATGATGTACATTTATTCCTTCTATTCAACTTAACCATTCAATTGTTTAATTTCCTCATGTAAATGTCTATGTGATATATCTTATGATCATGCTTTTGTACAGCAAACATAGTGAATTATGTTGCATATGGATGTAGCCAAAAGAATAATGATGGGACAAAGGGGTTTTTTCTTTTTCCAAAAGACCCTGTTTGCCACAAAAAAAAAAATGGATTGAAGCTGCGGGATGGGAAAGTCCTAAATACTCCTAAATCCTGTAGTAAGCTCTATGGTGCATATGATAAGAGGGATAGCAAAAGTGTAAGTAAAATATATCAAATAAAGGATTACAGCATAGTAATGTTGCTGCAGATGTAAAATATTATTGTTTAAAAAAATCAAGATACTTTTTGAATGTGAAGAGTGTAGACTTTGATCAAACATTTTATTTGGCATTATTGTAACCAATTTAAACTCTAAAGGATTTTAAAAAAGAAATGTGTATTACTCTGGGACATATATGTTTTATAGGTCTTATTCACCATATATATTGGAACATGATAAAATAGTTATTTATGGTGAAACTTTTAAGGTATTTGTCCCAAGACTTACAAAATGAAATAATTTTGTGTTGAATTTGTGCCCCTCACCACTGCATGGTACAATAAAGTAGATAAATAAAACACTTATTTGAAGATAAAATGAAAGAATCTAACCTTGTATTGTTATGATTTATTCCTTCTTTTCTCATCATGCAAAATTTATTAAAGAAAAGAAATATATCCATGAACTCTACACTTGTAGCAGATGCCAGCCGTTGTATGCATCATTACTGTAGTGTGTATCGCTTATGTCAGATAGCAAAATTGCAAATGAGATGGGAATATCACCAAGTTGCTTGAAGGCACCTGCCATTCATTTCAAAATGACCAAAATTGTATTGTATCTAGGTAAACTTGACAACAGTATCTTGCAAATAAAAATCATTGTTTGAAAATACATTCACTGTGAGTGCAAATGATAATCTTTTCCCTAGCATGGGTTACAGAAGTATTATTAAAGCAAACTATTGTTGTGTACACTATTTAGTCATTAATGCCCATTAGTATCAATTACGATTACAAATGGCAAACAAATAGAAGCCAAGTTGATGAATAAACACAGCTGGCAGTAAGCACTAAACACATTGCTTAAACTTGCTGACAGGATATCAAATCCAAAGGTTATTTTATTACAAAGCCAACCTCATAAACTGACTTTGATTATTTTAAGTGTGCCAATTTTGTTTGATTAAGTTAGCTGACATAAGGAAGCCAACTTTGGTTCCTTTGGATTCTTTTAAGTGTACTGATTTTTTTTATTGTTTTTTTTTTTTACAAAGTTGGCCAATATAGGGATACCCTTTTACCTGTATAATAATTGGAATTTTGAAAATAAATTGAAACAATGGAACAGTTTCTAAAGCGACACAATCTAGTGTGTCATGCACACATAGTGATATAAGGTGGAACAGTAAGTTTTCAATAGTTTCATCTAAATGTTCCCTATCCATAGTTTACATGTTTTATTTTTCAACAACAAGAAGTGTGTACTTTGTCTTGTGGGGATAAATGTACATCATTTCCGGTTGGCATCCTCTCTTGGTGGAAAATTGGAACTAAGTGGAAGTAACAGCATTGTATACTTATAGTTGGACTAATTAAATTTTTGTTTATTCTTTAGATTTGATAATTTTGTGTTCTTTTTTGCAAGTATAACTATTTTTTTTTCTTGTAATGCAAATCTGATATAAAAAGAAATATGTTAGAGTATGGCCAGTGACCTTTAAGCAAATCTATGAGTTTTCTCATCACAAGTGAAATATTATGAAGTGGGGGCATAAAGGAGTGATTGTGCAGACTTTCCCCCAGACACCATAGGAAGGCTGGGAGTCACTCTCATCCACCTACCAAATTTGCCAAGGTGGCAGAGGAGGAATAGATTTAGTCCTTTGAGAATGTGGATAATGATGTTTACCATTTATTGCTCTGGAACCTGTGTCCCAAGTCTTCAGACTATGAGGACACTAAAATTATCTCCAGCTTCTCAGGACATTCAGGGTTATGGTAACCATCAGCAGAGCAGTTGTCATCTTTTGCTTCTATCTTTTGGATCCATGGGAATGGGTCACAGGTCACATTTACAAAACATGCAGTCAATGCTAGAAGATATAACAATTCAATTGCAAGGACATTTGTAAATATTTTTTGACCTTTCTACCAGGGCCCTGGATGGCAAGGAAGTCTAAAGTGCTTGTCTTTACTGATCTCTTAGCAGACATTTTGGCAGGTTGGAGTACATAAATGATTCCATGATTATGTTATCAGTAATATGGGTCCACTCAAATATTACAATAAAAATTAGAATTTTTGTGTGTATAAGTTTTGTGCTTGCAATATTTTTTGGTATATGGACCTTTGGAAAGGAGTTATATAATAAAGAAGAATTTGTGTCTTTTCATCAGAATGATGTTATTTTTTTTTTAATAGCTCTAAATTTAGGTTCATTGTTGATGAATGCTAGCAAATCATTTTTGCTAGGGACTGTCAATAAATCTGATTTAGTACAAAAAGACATGTATGCCCATTTTTTCATATCTGAGGTAAGAGTTAAACAGTGGCATATCAGTACTCTTTAAAATTTGAACTTGATTTTGAAAATGATTTGAAAAAATTATTGACTAAATTTCTGTAAATGAATCTTGGCATGTATTTATTTTCTGTTTTAATCCAGAGAGTCCAATTGTACTCAGAAACAATTCATGACATCCAAGAAGAACAGAAAATATCAGAGAAAGTAACTGAAGAGCTCAAAGCTGAGGTTTCCAGATTGCAAGAGGAAAGATCTATTGAAGATGTAGAGCAGAAGTATGAGATTAGATTATCAGAGTTGAAGGAGACATATCAGAGATTAATGTTGGAAAAAGAAGAGGAACAGAAATCATTAGAGAGACTAATTGCAGATCTCAAAGCTGAGACTTTTAGAGTGGAAAAGAGCAGGTCTGTTGAAGAACAGAAGTTTGAAACTAGAATATCTGAACTGGAAATCACACATCAGAGATTCATCTCTGAAAAAGAGGAGGAACATGAAACAATAATGAGACTAAATACAGATCTCAGAGCTGAGATTTCTAGACTGCAAGAGGGCAGGAATGTTGACAACACAAAACAGAAGTATGAGATCAGGATATCTGAACTGGAAGAGACACAGCAACAGTTAATTGCAGTGAATGAAGAACTAAAGAGAAGCCACTTGCAGGAAGTTGAAGATCTGTGTATCAAGATTAATACGCTTAAGGAGGTAACAGTATATATTAGCAATACTACAGAACTTAAGCAACTAAAAACAACAAGCAAACCTGCATAACTAAAACTACTAACATCTGTAAGCATAACTATTGAATGTAAAAACTCAAATATACAATCAAAAATGCAGAACTAAAAGCAATGCTGTAAGCAAAACTAGGTAATTTATGCATATAAAATCTACAAGCAGAACTACAGAAATAAAAGCAAAACTGCAAGCAAATTTGCATAAGCAACAGTAAGATAGAAGCAAAAATACAGTACTTAAAACACACTACACATTCAGCCAACCTAAAATAATTAAGAGATGTTCCAGTAAAACATACATGGTACACAGGAAAGGCACTTTTAATGTTAAAAACTCATTAATTGATGCAGTTTTGAATTTTCTTAGCATGTCAATAAGAAGTCTTAGAAATCAAAGAACCCTGGGATATATTTTAAAAAGACTGCCTTCCATGGGTACCATGTATGTTTAAATGGAACAGCCCTAATCTACATCTGAAATAAGTGAGTAAAATTGAGCAGTCTGAAATAAAGAATCAGTAACCCAAATGAAGGCAGGTAAAAGCTACAATCAAATCTAGAGAAATATAAACATAAACACATACAGCAGATTATGAAGCAGGACCTTGTTTACTTTGTTTACATATGGATGATGCATTTGCATAAATAAAGACCATGACCAATATGCACTGAATCCTCAGCTTGAGTGTTCACTCACATTCAGTTATTCCTACTTACATGTTTATCTTGCCTAACATTACAGTGTATTTGACAATATTCATCATTTAAGTGAGCACCAATTTTTGAATTACTTCATTGTCAGTCACTTTTTGCATGTGTGTTTGTGTGTATGTTGTATAATTTTAATACAGTTTTAACAATGTTTTAGTCAAATTGCTACGATGTTTGCAGTGTGACAGTTTAAAGTGATGTCTAGCACTGGGGCATCATGCCACAGACATGTAGCATGATGTCCCACTCAGTCACATTATCCTGACACCAGGCTGACCAGTCCTAACACTAACCTCTTAGTGCCGATCGCAGAGCGAGGTTGTTGTTGGTACCATATTTAAAAAACTTAAGTATGACCCAGATAGGGTTCAAACCAGTGACCTCCCACATCTGAGGCAGATGCTCTAACCACTAGGCCACCAGAATTGTACTTGGTGCATGATGATGTGTCAAAAATGGTGTTTGAGTGTGCACTCAAGCTGAGGAATTTTGTGGATAAGGGGACAGGCCTTTGCTTAGCTAAATGTTTCAAACTTTATCCTCGTACTGAGATTTTTGAATATCTTACTGCTTGGTTGGTTAAAATGATTTTCCCCCCACATAACATCTAGCAGTCATCATGGGGTTATGGTCATCAAATCTTTAATTGTGTTGAATTTATAAAATTAAAATGTGGTTTTTCATCATTTTCACTACTCTGCCGCTGAGAAAAAATATTGAATTTTGAAGTATCATCAGCAAGATGATGTAAAATCTCAGTCTGAGGAGAAATTTGTGAGAATTTTAATGAATATGTGTTGATGTCTTTAAATAAAATTTAAATTATATGAATATTTGAATAGTATTTGGGAGAGAGTTTCAGAAATTATTTTGCTGCTGCATACCTAAAAACATGCTTGGAAACTAGTAGAGTTACCTGTTGTCATTTTGTAGCCGGTCAGAATGGTCCTGGTATTGGCTGTTGTATCATGTTGCATATATGTGGGTCAACATAAGGAAAATGTTTTCACAACTTGAACTAAAGTATAGGAAATATATATAGTAAATTTGAAAAAAAAATATCTCAAAAACTACTGCTTTTATTTTACTCAAATTTGAATTTTTCTTATATTATCTATTTTATGTCTATTTCTTATGCATTAGGAAAGATTTTATTATGTACATGAGCATTTGTGAAGCTTGGATGCAATTTATGAAAGGTCCATTGTGACACTTATGTTATTGTTAATGTGTAATTATATGAGTTTAAGTTCTTTGGATATATATATATATATATATATATATATATATATATATATATATATATATATATATATATATATATATATATATATATTTGATGAATTTGATAAATTTCATTTGGAATGAGCACATATTAAAGATTTCATTCTATTTATCACCTAATGAAAAATTAAGATCTTATAAAACTCTAATGAAGAATAGTATAGTAACATGACTTTGAAATGCATTCCTTGGTCATTAAGCTTTTACCTTACATGAGATAATAATTATTTTGTTATGTTATTATGCATGTTACATATAGAATGTTTGGTACATCCACTTAAATACCATGGAAATATGAATCAAACATTTGCACTTAATGCCAGATCAACATGTAAGATGAAATGGGCATATAATAAATATCACAGTTGGAGTGTAACTCTTAGAGGCAATTTGGGTAATTCGATAGTTTGCTTTGCCACCTGCTCCCTATTCTCAATGAATCCCACTGATTTTCTACTCAGAAGAGTGAATTTTGTAGCTTATAAGTATTTATTGACTGGTGGAAAACAGTTAAAACATTTTTCAAGCAAACTGGTATCCTCTTATACCCTCAAATTTGCACCAATTTATGATGTTAATGCTTGGCACATAAATGTGAGACCTGACTTTTAGATATTGTCATTAATGAAGCTTTTAAACTAAAACTATGAAGAGATTAATGTATTTATTTAATATTTCGCCCACAAATAATGCAAGATTATTTGCCTTCGATAAATATTACTTACCTGTTCTGGGAACAGCTGTTATTTTCAACGTTACTGCCAGACAATTAGAACGATGTTCAGGATAGAATATTTTAATCTTTTCATAAAGTATTTGTTTGTGTATTTTGATATTTTTTAACTTGTGCTGGTAATCCCCATTTTTTGTGGAACTTGGGTGTCATTATAAAATTGTATCCCCAATTTACATTTTATTTTTCCCTCACTTGATCCCATTTAGACAGGAAGGAGAAATCACATGACCCTTGGAGTAATAATGTGTAATATTTATAGTTTTGCATGATAGTAGATACTGTTATTGACCTAAATATCCCAACATTAAAAAATGATTACTTTTCTTTGTCCAGATTATAATGCATTATATATTTCTGCCATGATGGTCATATTGGCTGTTAGACCTGCATCATTTTTATTTAGGACCAACTAGACATCATAAACTGTATTGTAATACAATCTGATCCTAATATGTCCATCGATCCAGAAGCAGTAGTGATAACATGATAACAAGATTTGAAAGATGGATGCTGTAGTGGCCATATTGGAAGTTGAGCAGCACCATTTTCATTTAGGATCAACAAAATGGTGCTAACAGATGGATGGACAAACGATGGATAACAGGCTATCCAGTAAACTTTTCTGGTCAATGAACAGTATAACTAATAATAGCTTAGGAGTTTCTGTAGAGTCGGATTTTGGTGGTAATTAAATAGTTGTATTTCTTGATCCAATGAATGAATATGAACAAATCTTTGCACTGCATATGAAATGTCAAACAAAGTAAGATTCCTGATGTGAATAGCATTCAGGTTTGCCTTTCTTTTTTTTTGTCCGCTTTGAAAAACTTATTTGCTGTTCAGAAATTGTTTTTACCAATGAAATCTGTGAAATTGGTGAGTCTGGATATTTAGTTTAATTAAGGCAGTGTTATATTGTATAACATCAATGTGTAAAATTAATCATAGGAGCGAATATTGTTGTTCAGATAGTGTCAGATTGTTAGATTACAATATTTCTATCTGCTGACCAGAAAGGTTATCTAATAAAATAAAGACACAATATAAAAAGAACTTATGTACAGAAAAAAAAGATAAATTTTGAAGATGTGTAAAAGGGAGCAGCCTAAAAATAAAAGAATACACCAAATGTTTGTAATTTCTTTAGCTTCTAATTGAACTTAACTTGCAATAATGTTATTTATCTTGTTGACGGCAAGTCCAATCTTCACTTCTTTTTGCTTTAGAATCTGTCATATGCAATGCAGCTTGCATGCTATACTGAGAGCAACAACAAGAATGGGTCAATCTTAGACTATATTTCCACTTAATATATATTCAATTAGAATACTGTGCTATGGTCTGTATGTGACATTGCATTAACTCCTGTTTGAAAAATCTTTAGACTTTACACAAACTAATTGAGTTTGAAACAGAAATTGAAGCAGGACTTTTTTCTCTTTCTTTTTTTACAACAAATAAATTTAAATATGTATGTTCAAGAAGACCAGAACTATTGTTACCAGGAATTATATTGAAAGATTGAAATGAGCTTGATGTAAGGTTGTTGTAATAAAGGACAATTGCCTTAATTAGAAGGCTTGCTTATGTACAGATAGTGTATGTGAAATTTTGTATTGCAAATACATGCTGAAAGAATGACCAACAAATTTAATAAATACTATAACCATTAATATTTACAGTTAATGTATCAATCAAATTTTTTAAATGTTATGTTTGAATTCAATTTTACACTATTGTAAGGATGTTCTGCATACATTTTCATGCTTTTCTATGAAACCTACAATGCCTGACATAATATTAGCAAAGTATTTATCACAAATTGATCTCTAGTGACATATGTTCTCTCCCATTTGCTCCCACAAACTTTCTAGCTGATTAATAAACAAATGAAGGAAGTCATTTCCACATTTACTCCAGGGGCATACATAATATAAAGGCCACCTTCTTTTTCACCTGTCCCCAAAAAAAAGCATTGCAGTTTTCTCTGTAAGATGTCTTTTTTGGCATTTTTCTAAAGAGCACATATTCAGCTATCTGATTTCTGCATGTTACATTCAAGAAGATATATCTTTGAGGCCAAGTCAACAGAGTTTTAATTGTACTCATTTTGTGTTATTACATTTTTCAGCACAGCACCTTATTGATATGAGGGTGTCTGGCAGTAAAGTAGTTTCAAAGACTACGTGCTTTTTTGACCATGACAGTGACTACAAACTACCTCAATTGTTACAGAATTGTTTTTATGTATAATAATTCTACCTTTAAACATGTAGCCTATCTTACATTCTTCTGTTAAATATATTTTTAAGTGAATTTGGGATGGAAGATAGTTTAGAGTAGGTGGTGCTACAAGTTTACCAGGAGTGATCCTTAACCCATTGTCCATTGGACAGCCCTGTCTTTTTACCTGAATTAGCTTTTGATATTTAATAAGCACTAGATTTCTAAACCAAGTAGAATATTCAACTACAAGAAAAATCTTATTTGCATGCCTGTTCATGTATTGCTGATAGAATTATTTGATTAGGACCTAAATTTAGCCTGCCTTTTTTAAATAGGAATTACAAACTTTGAGGACAAGGATGGGAGGAAATGAGGAGGTATCAGGCTGTCAGGGAGAGTGTTTGAGGTTGGAGGCAGAGGCAGAGAAATTACAAGAGTATGAGACAACTTTGAAAACTCTTCAAGTCAGACTTGTGGAAGAAGAAAAGGTATGTTTGTATGTTAGCATGAGACATACCACAAAATGCGTGGTCATCACTTGTTTCATGGAAACATTTTTATCAGAAGAACCGCAAACTGTGATACTCATGGGCCATGCTATTCTTTGCTTGAACATATACCCATTAATGTTATTGTATGTTGATGTTTTCTCATGTTTGCTACTGATCCCATGAAAACTTTCATTTGCCCATACATTTTACAAGAGACATACAAGTTGTAATAATTATATTGTAATGTTGGAAACATAAATATGAAAATGGCCTTTATTATTTGTATAACACTACAGTTATATAATTATTTTAAAAATGAAACAGTATTATTAAGTGCTAAATGATTGAATGATGATTAGCTTATATAAAGTCATCCTATTTTACATGTACAACAGAATTGATGTTTAAATAGACTACATTGACTTTACCCTGTCCACCATATTGATGAGCATTTGCATGTAACAAAGTTATTTCTTTGCAATAGGCAGTGTGTGGGTTCTTGCTTTCTTTTATAGAGTTGTCCTGTCATGATGAGAAATTTTTTTTAAGACCAGGAGTATAGTAGTAGTGCCAATTTGTTCTTGTCTGAATGCTAAAGGTCTTGGTTGAGTCACTTGATATTAGCTTTCATAATGTTATTTTTCATTTCAGAAAGTTGAAATATACAAAGAAACTATATTGGAGTTTAGG